TTTGACCATTTCAGCCATTTTCACAGTGAATACTTTATGAGCCACTATTATATACCTGGATCCTGAGCTGGGGAAATGAGCAGAGGTTTGGCAAGGGTAAGGAAGAAAAACTTTCAAAATCACATTTTATTGGCCATTTTAGAAGATGGTCAGAGAAAAAGTACAGAGTTCTAAAATAGCTGAAGACTCTTAAATGACACTATGGCATTTCTAGAAGAGTTCCATGAAAGCATCCACGTATAATCCCAGTGACTCAGGAGGCTAAGGCAGAGGACCCCAACTTCAAGACCAGCCTGGGCAACTTAGTGAGACCAGCCTCAAAATAAAAATTAGAAGGACTGGGGATATAGCTCAATGGGGAAGTGATCCTGGGTTCAGTCCTCAGTACCCTGCACAAACACACACATAAAATGATGGGAAATGTTTTATATTCACACACACATACTGAAAAGGAAGGGGAGAAAAGGACAAAGGGAAGGAGAAGAAAAGAGTTAGAAAGGATCAGTCCTACCATTTTGAACACAAGGGCACTGAAGCCTGGAGAAAAGCCTTTAGCCAAATGACTTCACATGCTGGGCCAAGAAACTACATACTACATCTCCCAACACTTCATCCACCTCCACTACCTTGCTACCTTCAGATGTTTCTTCAATTTTTCCTTTTCCTTTCCCTCCCTTCGTTCCTTCCTTTGCAGTGCTGGGGATTAAACCTGGCTCCCTGTGCATAGTAGGCAAGTGCTCTATCCCTGAGTTAAATCCTGAGCCCAAGATAAATCAAAATATAAAGTACCTTAAGCTATAAACACCTGTGCACCATTATATTCCACCAACCTCTGTGTCTAGCAATTTGTAAAACCTSTCTGAAGGGCTAGGAATGTGGCTCACTGGGAGAGTACATGCCTAGAATGTGTGAAGCCCTGAATTCAATTCCTAATACCCCAAAGGGAGGGGAAAAAACAAACAAACAAACAAAAAAACCTCACACCCTCCTAAGGATGTAGGGCAGAAAAAGGATAAATAGCAGAGTCTAAAAAATATTTTTGCTTTTTGTGCTGTGGACTAAATAAACTTAGGGCCTCCAGCATGCTATAAGCATTCAAGCATTCTATTATTGAGCAATACAACCAGCCCAAACCACAAAACTATTTTTATGGGGGGCTGGAGTGGTGGCTCAGTGGTAGAGCGCTTGCCTAGCACATGCGAGGCCCTGGGTTTACTCCTCAGCACCATATAAAAATAAATAAAATAAAGGTATTGTGTCCAACTTCAACTAAAAAATAAATATCTAAAAAAAAAAAAAACCAAACTATTTTTATTTACTACAGCTGATGGGCCTGGGCTTTGGTTACTGGGCTCCATATTACCTTATCTGTAACTGTTTAATGGTAGCAGGTATAAGTCACATTATAGGATGTTTTCTTTGAGGGGTGAAAAAAGAAAGCAGGTAAGCTTAAGCACTATTAAATCACCTCTTCTGCAAAGGTTGGGTATGTTTAATGATAGTAACAAGAAGGCTAGAGGGGATCAAATACATATCCTCCATATGAAATATAACAGCCTGAAACAATAATATCTCAGTATGTGTGTGTCTGTTGCTGGGGATCAAACCAGAGCTTCATGCATGCCCATATCTTAATTCTTTTTTTTTTTTTTTTTAGCGGAGGGGTTCTGGGGATTGAACTCAGGGGCACTAAACCACTGAGCCATATCCCAAGCCCTACTTTGTATTTTGAGACAAAGTCTCACCAAGTTGTTTAGTGCCTCACTGTTGCTGAGGGTGGCTTTGAACTTGCGATCCTTCTGTCTCAGCCTCCAGAGCCTCTGGGATTACAGGCACGAGCCCTTAAACCCTGCCAATATCTCAATTCTTAAATTCATAGCTGAAGACAGTGGTTATCAGAGGCTATTTGGGTCTGCTTTGAGGAAAACAAAGTGGAGATCTAAAGTCAGCATCAAGTGGTGCACACTTATAATGCCAGTAACTTGGGAGGCTGAGGCAGGAAGACAAGTTCAAAGCCAGCCTTGGCAATGTAGCAAGACCCTGTCTCAAAATAAAAAATAAAAGGGCTAGGGATATAGTTCAGTGGTAAAGCACCCCTAGGTTCAGACCCCAGTCTCTCAAAAAAATATAAATAAATAAATAGTCAACACCATTTGCATTTTCCCTTAAATGGCTCTTCCCTTGATATATCTCTGAGTGAAGTTGCTGTAGTGTGTTAAGCAATCTTGAAAAAAACGAGTTTTCTCTTTGTCATCTTATTGTATGTATCCAAGTATATTTCCTCTCCAATTGTGCCTAAAAGCCTAGAACTAGGCACAATGAAGTTAATGTGATGATTTGGATGACGATGGAAAACAAAATTTCATCACTAAATTATCATTCAGGCTAGGTATACCTCTCAGTAGTTAGAGCATTTACTAGGATGAGTCAGGCCCTGGGTTCAGTCCTCAGCACTGCAAAACAAATATTTTTTTTTTTTTTTTGAAAGTAAGAGAAAGGCTGAGTTCATCAAAGCTGGTATTAGAAAACTGGCTTATATATTAGGGAGTTGTAGAAGAAAACTGTCACCTTCAGCTTTGTCCTTTCACAAAACTGGATTTGTCAGACAAATTCAAAAATATCAGGTTCTGAGTCTATGTTCTCTCAAAAGGCTAGTCCCCCCCCCCCCAATGTGTATATGGGGTGCTAGGGATTGAACCTAGGACTTTGCCCACGCTAGGCACATGCTCTCCCTCTGAATTATACAGTCCAAAACTAGACCACTTTTAACTTCTGATGATCCCGTAGAACAGGGGTGGCAAACTACGGCCTGTATACCAACTCCAGCTGTTTTTGTAAAAATTTTTATTGGAGGGCTATGGTTGTAATTCAGTGTATGTGAGGCACTGGGTTCAACTGTCAGCACCTCATATAAATAAATAAAAATAGGGGCTGGGGTTGTGGCTCAGCAGTAGAGTGCTCGCCTAGCACATGTGAGGCCCTGGGTTCCATCCTCGGCACCACATAAGAATAAATAATTAAAATAAAGGTATTGTGTCCAACTATAACTAAAAAATATTTTTTAAAAAAATAAAAATATGGGGCTGGGGATGTGAAATAAACTTTAAAAAAATGTGGAATTTATACACAATGGAATATTAATCAGCACTAAAAAATAACAAGATCATGGCATTTGCAGGCAAATGGATGGCATTAGAGCAGATTATGCTAAGTGAAGTTAGCCAATCCCTAAAAAACAAATGCCGAATGTCTTCTCTGATATAAGGGGGGTGACTCAAAATGGGATAGGGAGGAAGAGCATGAGAAGAAGACTACCACTAAATAGGGAAGAGAGGTGAGAGGGAAAAAAAGGGAGAAGGGGAGTTGCACRGAAGATGGAAGGAGAACCTCATTGTTATACAGAATACATATATGATGTTGTGATGAGAAAAAGAAAAAAAAAGTGTGTCACATTAGATTGGATAGAGACAAAGGATGGGAGARGAGGAGAGGAGTAGGGGGGATAGGAAGGGCAGCAGAATAGAATAGACATTATGATTGATGTATGTACATTCCATGTATGTATTATATGACAAAATAGATTCTGCTGTTATGTATGACTAAAAAAAATAAAAATAAATCATATGGTAAAAAAAAAATTTTAAAGACCTTAAAAAAATAAAAATAAAGGTCCATCAGCAACTAAAAAATAATTTTAAACATTTTTTATTGGAACATACATATTCCTTTGTTTACATATTGTCTATGGTTGTCTTTGCCCTATAATGGCAGAACTGAATATACAGAGACTATGTGGCCCACAAACCAAAAACTATTTTCAATCTGGCCTTTATTAAAAAAAAAAGTTTGTGGCTCAGCGTTAGAGTGCTCGCCTAGCATGTGCGAGGCCCTGGGTTCAAACCTCAGCATCACATAAAAATAAATAAAATAAAGGTATTGTGTGCAACTACAGTTTAAAAATAAATATATTAAAAAAAAAGTTTGGTAAATTTTGTTTTGTTTTGGGGACTGGACACAGGGCACTCTACCACTCAGCTATATACCCAGACCTTTTTATTTTGAGGCAGGGTCTTGCTAAATTGCCCAGGGTGGCCTTGAACCTGCAACCTTCCTGCCTTAGCTTCCCCAATTGCTGGGATTACAGGCATGCACTAGCACACCCACCTTGCTAATTCTTGTAAAGGGTTCAGCTAAGATGCTTAAGCATTCTGTTCTATTAAAGGAAAACCTCACTATCTCATTGATATCCCCTTTTGTGTTCTGAAGGGAGGGTTCACACCAAATTCAAAGCTGTTTTTATATCTGATATTATATGTAATAATTAGCCAAGAATGGAATATTTTTCTTGCATGTCATGTAGTGCAGGGATAGAAGGCAAGAATCTGGGAAAATATGAACTACAATGATCCAATTTAAGTAATTAAGACAGGAATCTAACAGTTCTCAAAGGCTCAATCTTATGGGAATTATACTAGCAGGCAAATGCCCAGAGAGGCTGAGAAAGCTAGCTCACAACTCTTCAGAGGACAAGAGTTCCTTTACTTACTGGGAACTGAAGTCACATTGGCTCAGAAGGCAGACAACAAAACCAAAGGGAACTATCTGTTTCCATGGTAAAGTGTACACAGGTCAAAACAACATAACAGTGTAAATAGTTTACTTCAGAGATACGGTAAGTAATCTGGACTATAAGTTTTCATCCAGTTCCTCAGGGGGTTAACTGAAACATGTTTTCGAAGGGTACGTATCTTATAAAGCACCTTAGTAACAATTAAGATCACATAAACTGGAGAACTGTAGTATTTAAGAGGATTTCTGTAAGATATAAAAGTTATCTCACATTGCTGACAGGTAAGGGCTTTTGCRACTGCTCTCCTGACAAATATCTTGGAGGTACAAAATTCAAAATCAACATGCCCCAGATATGCCTCTGGGATAACTCACATGTAGGGACTAAACAAAGGATCACACATCTTTTCTTGGGGATCCAGATTACTTACATTTCTGAAGTCCAGTGTTCATCTGCGTGTGAGAAAGAAGCTGAAAGGACAGGTCACCTGGCCCTGGTAAACAGGCTAGCATGGCAGACCAGCATCAACACAACATGGGGCAGTGGCTCACACTGTAATGACAAAAAAACAAGGTCATGGAACACAAGGCAATTCATTCAGGGAAGATACCAGGGAAATCAGATATGAGCAGCACAGACCCAAGTTTAGGTAGATAAACAATTTAATTAACAGTATGTTTGCTGAATAATATATCTACATGTTTATTTGTAGCACCAACCATTCTGATGGCTAAAATGTTATTTCATTCAGCATAGATGTATGAGTGGAAAAAATACCTATTCACACAAATAATTGGAAAATACAGGTATATTTGTAAAGTTTCCACTTTCTTAACAAGTACTAGAACTTACAGTAAGATGACTAACAAAGGCACCCAAAATCCAACTTGTGATCTGGTAATCAATCCTAACTCACTTTTAAAATAAAGGAGTCAGGTGCAATGGATCACGCCTATAATCCCAGTGACTAGGGAGGTTAACCCAGGAGGATTACAAGTTGAAAGCCAACTTCAGCAACTTAGCAAGATCCCATCTCAAAATAAAAGAAATAAAAGGAGGACTCGGGTGTAGCTCAGTGATAGAGTGTGTGCCTGGTACATGTGAGGCACTGCTAAGTTCGATCCTTAGTACCACATAAAAATAAAAAAATAAAACAAAGGTATTGTGTCCATCTACAACTTTAAAGGGACTGGGGCCAGGTGTCGTGGTACATGACTGTAATCTCAGCCTCTCAGAAGGTTGAGGCAGTAGGATCACAAGTTCAAAGCCAGCCTCAGCAAAAGCAAGGCGCTTAAGCAGCTCACTGAGACCCCATCTCTAAAAACAACAGGGCTAGGGACATGACTCAGTGGTCGATCAGTGGTCAAGTGCCCGAGTTCAATCCTCAGTAAGGAAAAAAAAAAAAAAGATTGGGCTGGGCATGGTGGTGCATGCCTATAATCTCAATAGCTTGGGAGGCCGAGGCAAGAGGATTGTGAATTCAAAGCTAGCCTCAGCACTTTAGCAAGGCCCCGGCTCAAAATAAAAAAATCAAAAGGGCTGGTGTTGTGGCTGCTCAGTTGTTAAGCATATTTGGGTTCAAACCCTGGTATCAAAATAAATGAATGAAAATCAAAAACAAAGAAATAAAACCAAGAAGGAACAAAGAATCCTAGGACATCCAATTAACTGGTTTTATTGTTGTTAGGTTTTTTTTTTCTTTTTTCTTTTTTTTGGCTTTTGCTGAGGCTTCCTTTGAACTCCCTATCCTCCTGGTTTAGACTCCCAAGCCATTGGGATTACAGGCATGTGCCACTGTGCCTGGCGCACACCCCCCTACACACACTTTGTGTGTGTGTGTGTGTGTGTGTGTGTGTGTGTGTGGTATTGGGGATTGAACCCAGGGCTTTATGCATTCGAAACAAGCATTGTACCAATTGAGCTATATCCCCAGCCCCCCTGGAGCCCTTTTCATTTTTTAAATTTTGAAATAGGGTCTCTCTAAACTGCTTAGGGTCTTGATAAGTTGCTGTGGCTGGCCCTCAAACTTGTGATTCTCCTGTCTAAGCCTCCCATTATAGGTGTGCACCACCACACCCAGCTATAATTAATCACTTTTTAAAAAGATATTTATTTTTAGTTTTAGGTGGACACAATATCTTTATTTTATTTTTATGTGGTGCTGAGAACCGAACTCAGTGCCTCATGAATGCTAGGTGAGCGCGCTACCACTTGAGCCACATCCCCAACCCCTAATTAACCACTTTTAAAGCAAAATTTACTTGTAAATTTTGAAGAATTCATCTTTTGTATCATGTTTCACACAATTAGGCTTCCTGGACCCCCCAAAAAAGAAAGGGGAGGGCATTGCTCCTAGGCTGCCAGCAGTCCCCTCTGGGTAGGTAATACTAACATTATATCCAAATGGTATGGACTACTGCTAGGTGTGGGGCTACACACTTGCAATCCCAACTACTTGGAAGCCTAAGGCAGGAGGCTGACAAGTTTTAAGGCTGGCCAGGAAAACTTAGCGAGACCCTGTCTCACAATAAAGATTTTAAAAGGGATAGTGATATAGATCTGTGGAAAAGCACTTGCCTCTCAAGCATAAGGCCCTCCTAGGTTCAATCACCAGTACCACACACACAMAAAAAAAWTGATTTAATTGGTGTTGTGTAGCAAAGAGACATATACAACCCAAACATACAACCCTGCTGTAGTGAAGGAAGTATTATCAACAATGCAAGCTCCTATGTACCTGGAAACAAGCTTTTCTCAAGTAGATTACAGTAAAATACATGAACTTCCTTCCCAATACTACAAAACCCGGAAACCATGATGGTGGATTATGGTTTAGATTACTACAAAAAGGAAGAGTGCTCAAAAATTAAACAAAGGCCTCAAAATCTCTTTATTTCCCTTAGAGGATTCTCTCAGGTATGTGAAACTACCTTGTCATGATGAGTATCTTAGAGCTYTAGCTTGCAAGACCAGGAAACCGAAAAGACACTTTATAAAAGGGAATGCTTAAACTGCATCTAAGATAGCAACTTATAAAGAACTGAAGATTGGATGCCTCAATGAGAACAGAACTGCCCAAGAGTTTTGTTTTTTTGGGGGGGCACAGATTTGATCTTAAGTCTCTAGCGAGTGGGACAACAGAATGAGCACAGTGTGCCAACTGCAGAGCCTTAAGAAATAAAATGTCTTCTGTTGGGGTCAAATGACCAAGGTGATGCTTATTACAATCCCTTCCCTTGTGAATGCTGATGTCTATTTAATAACTTCTCCCTTATGGTTCTATACAGCTGAGGGCAAAATTCAAGGAAAGGAAAGATATTAACAAACTGAAATGTGTTATATAAGGACATTTTAGTCAATTACAGTTGGCAAATATGATAGTGATCCCATAAGATTATAATGGAGCTGAAAAAACTGTTTTTGCCTTTTACTCTTACTGTAACTTTATAATAAAGAGATTATGATGTTGATGATGATGATGGTGGTGGAGGAGGAGGAGGAAGGGAAGACTGGAGAAAAACAAAACTTAAACAGTAGCTATTATTTGGGCAGAAATTTTTCTTTATACTTTGGCACATTATTTCTATAAATAAGTTTAAAATAAGGAAAAATTTTCAGGCATGATGGTGCACACCTGTGCATGCACCATCCCAATGACTCAGAAGGCTAGGACAAGAAGATCAGAAGTTTTGGGTCAGGCTCAACAAATCAGGGAGACCCTCAGCAACTTAGACCGCGTCTCCAAATAAAAAATTAAAATGGGCTAAAGATGTAGARCAGTGGTAAAGTGCACTGGAGTTAAATCCCCAGTACCAAATAATAATAATAAATACAAATAAAGAAAAATTTACCAAACTCAAACCCTCAAACCTAAAGCAATGTTCACATGTGGATTGCTGATACTCTGATAATGAAAGTTCAAAGCAGACATTCACTCAGCAGTCTTGCAGATACCACTCTGTCCCTGCACATTTTTTTGTGTGTTTATTTATTTTATTTGATACTGAGAATCAAACCCAGTGTCTCATTACATGCTAGGCAAGAGCTCTACCACTGAGCCACAAACCTCCCCCCCCTGCACTTTTTTGTTGTTGTTTTAATTTGTTATACATGACAGCAGAATGCATTTTGATTCATAGTACACAAATGGGGCACAATTTTTCATTTCTCTATTGTACAAATAGTAGAATCACACCATTCATTTGTTCATACATGTATCCCCTCTGCACTTTATATATATTTTAGATGTAGTTGAACACACACAACCTTTATTTTATTTATTTATTTTTATGTGGTGTTGAGGATCAAACCCAGGGCCTCACGCGTGCTAGGTAAGCATTCTATCACTGAGCCACAACCCCAGCCCCACCCCTGCACTTTTTAATAATTTGTTTTCCAATATTGGGAATTTTTTTTTTTAGTTTAATGATCCTAATTGGCTTTATTTTTTTAATCCTAGAATTAAAGACAACACTTCATTCCATACAATAACAGAATAAGGGTTTCTTGGATTTCCTCTCCTCCTACAACCCAGAGACACATTTATTTAGAAAAACAGATATATATTTAAGGCAGAATCTATCCCTTGAAGCTTCCTGGCTTGCGGAGGTTGGAATCAAACAGGAAAAAAGCAACTTCCCTCCACAACCCATTCTAGAAAGCAGAGATGTCAGTATAAAGCATTCTCCCTTTCGAGCTATCTCAAGGAAGAGATATATTTTGAGGTAAAATGAGAAATACATGTTCAAAGAAGAATGTGGGTCATCTTGAGAGTGAGAAGCTTTTGGAGTAAAGCAAAGAATCCACATTCAAGGGAAAATATCGACCATTCCCAGAGGGAGAGAGCAACCCTAGAATACTTTTGAGCTCTCACTGGCATCCCTCTGGGTTGCTAAATATAGAAATTCTAATTTGTGACACCCCCTCCCCCATTTTTAAGAGTTCTGGGATCCATCTGCCATCCTTTCCAAAAGACTGCCTTCAATGCTAAGGGAGGCTTCAAGCCCCTTGACCAGTTTTACTCATGTCAAGAATCAAATCCTGCTAGGTCAGGGAAGAAATGGAATGGACTCAAGACTGTGAAGTTTATAGGGGCTATGATTAAAAAGGAAAAATGTAGGCTAGGGTTGTAGCTCAATGTTTGAGCTCTTGCTTCACATGCATGAGGCACTGGGTTTGTTCCTCAGCACCATTTAAAAAATAATCAAGGGGGCTGGGGATGTGGCTCAAGCGGTAGCGCGCTCGCCTGGCATGCGTGCGGCCCGGGTTCGATCCTCAGCACCACATACAAACAAAGATGTTGTGTCCGCCGATAACTAAAAAATAAATATTAAAGAAATTCTCTCTCTCTCTCTCTCTCTCCCCCTCTCTCTCTCCCTCTCTCTTTAAAAAAATAAAATAAAATAAAAATAATCAAGTAAAACAAAGATATTGTGTCCATCTACAACTAAAAAAAATAATAACAATAAAAAAAGGAATAAAGCAAGTTTCCTCCACAACTCATTCTAGAAAGCTGAGATGTCAATATAAAGTATTCCTCTAGAGGTGTGGCA